TAAGAGAGCCTGTATTGTCAATTCATGAGAATGATTTGAGGAACTATTCCCTAAAAATGTGGGTTTGTCCAGTTTAAGTAACCCAAATCAAACAACATATACTCTTAAATCACAGCTAAACATATTCATTTAGTCGAATCACAGTTTGTAATGCCTTTTTCTCAAAAATGCAGTCATAATTCGGTATTAATGTCTGTTTTTCACAGGGCCACATCCTTCGAATAGTGGTGAAATAGAAAAGGTGAGTCTATCCTTTGGTTTTTGTTTTCTATAATTAATGCTCACAATGTAAACAGCATGAACAAGACAAAAATCTAATGGAAAAGGGCTAATTATGTTCTATTATTAATTATGTTTTATATCAATTGTTAAATTAAAATTAAATGTTAAAGAAACGTCAGCTTGTGGCTGTTAAATTAAAGCATAACTTTTATAATAATTATAGAATTTAATATAATAATTATTTTATATTATTACACCAAACTCATTTGTGTACCTCTAGGTTGCGCTATATACAAAAAAAATCTGTCTCAGAACAGAATAGAACAATCAAAATGCCTCTTAGAAATATACATAATACAAATGCTTAGGTACCGTATGTGGTATTCCAAAATTTTGTTTTCAACACTTCCTCACCAGGCTCCCTGTCGTAAGCTGCTCAACACTGTCTTGCGGGGTCTCGAACTCACCATTTTCCAGTCGGATCGGGACATCTACATCCCGAACTGTGACACTCGTGGTTTCTACAGGAAAAAGCAGGTACTGGTTGACTAAATTAATATAATATCATGCAGGAATTTCATTTTCAAGATTCAAGTGGCTTTACTGACATGGTAAAAAGGCTTTACATTGCCAAAGAATTGGTAACATTATCATTTAGAAGGATCATTTTATCACTGTTTACTCTTATTGATAGGTCTTCTGTTTTTTTTTTAAATAACAGTATCTACCTTACTTCCTTGTGGAAGTTCAGAAGCTGTTTTTCCAGCTTAGTTTCCATAAATTAACTGAGGAGGAAGTTTTGATATCTGAAGGTCACCATTATGAGCCATTTTGTATTGCGAATGACAACCTTTGACGGTGTGCACAGTAGAATGACGTATCAAAGCCAGAACAATCTCCTGTTGTCTTGTAGTGTCGGTCCTCTAAGGGCATGCAGCGTGGCCACTGCTGGTGCGTCGACGAGATGGGCAACACCGTGCCATCACGTGCCGGGGAGGATGGAATTTTACCATGTGATGGAGAGTGAGGGGAGCGACAGCCCCACAGCTCTGAGCCTGGAGGAGGAGGAGGGGTACAGGGAGAGGGGATGACTTCAGCTTGGTGCAAGACACTGCCTGACCAAGACACTCCAGGGATAAACCACTTGACATGGGAATGGGCCCTCACTCAGAACATCCAGACCACGTTCACTGCCATAAACTTGAATAAACAGCATCAGAACACTAATGACCACTACACCACATGAGCTTAAGTTGGGATAGATCAGCTGTTACAGAGAGCTATTTAATTCCTGGCCACAACTTCTATGTTTGTTTCTCAATGGGCTGTTTAACTATTAAGCAGATGGGGTGACTATGTTTTCGAACCCGTCCCCTCTCCCCTTCTCCAATGATACACTGACTAAACTATACTTATGAAAATGGAATATACCTTCTCGTCTAATTTATTCGGGAGTTACTAAATTTCCTTGAATGTTTTCCTCAAAGACTTGCATACTTTTGAATTGTACACATTGTCATGTAATCGACATCTAAACTCTATCATAATGTGCACATTTGGCGAGTACTCCTTTTTTGTTCATATGACACTCTGACCGCAAACGCATGTCGTGGATTATTTGTACATAAGTGAGGCTATCGTGGTTGGTCGTGTCATGAGGTGGAATATTCTTGAATGCTGATGGCTGTTACCTTTTTCGAGAAGTTGTTAGGCATATTTTTATACATTTCAATATGCTATTATATATATA